CTGATCGTGACAGGCAGCGTGAACGCCGATTTTTCTGGTTTCACTATCTTGTTCATTTTACAGATGAGAAAACCGAGTCACGGAGTAGGGAGGGCAGCCAGGAAACAGCCCATGTTTGTGGCCTTCCCTGGCTGCTGGAGCCTTCCCCCAGCTCCCTGCCCGGAGGCAGTCCCACATTTGCCTCCCATTCCCTCTGGGCCCTCTCCCACCGCAGCAGCACCAGGAAACAAGATCTGTCACTCCTTGGGCATGACAAACTCGCTTTTATTTATTGTACCTGTAAGATGAAATGAGAGGTCCTGCCTGGGCCGGGCTCTCTGGTCCCAGGGGCTTCCTCCCTGGTGAGGGACTGGTCTAGATCCTCCAAGCTAAGTGGGTGAGCTCAAGCCAGGTGGTCCAGGAAGGCAAGGAGGACAAGGTGGAAGTCTTTTGGCTTGTGGAGGTAGCAGGCATGGCCTGCATCATGCAGCTTCACCACAGAGTGGTTGGGCAGGTGGCGGAGCTGCCGCAGTGACTCCCGGGCCAGGACGCGGTCCAGTTCCCCATACAGGATGAGAGTCGGGGTCTGCAGGGCAAGGTGAGGGGCTGTGAGCCTGGGGGAACCAGCCCTCAAGCCATCTCCTTAGGGAATCTTCCCCAAACACCCATCTTTTCCATCCAGATCAGGGATGGGGCCATGTGTCCTCCAAGTGGGGCCTGAGTCCTTTACTCCATATGACAGGGAGCTAGGACCTTTGGAGACCCTCCTCCCAGTACCTTCACAGCCCAGAATTGTTCCTGGGTATAGTTCTGCGTGGAGGCAGGTGCGATGGGAACGAATCCCTGCAGCTGACGGTGGTCTCGCATCAGGAAGGGCAGGGCATAGCGGCCGCTCAGCGAGGGGCTCACCAGCACGGCATTCTGCACCTCCAGGTCCCGCAGCACACGCTTCAGCAGCTCCGCCCGCCCCGCCTCTGTGCTGGCCTCCTTTGAAGGTGCTGAGTTCCCAAAACCTGGGAGCAGCGGGAGGCACCAGCTGAGGGGGGCTGGGAAGGAACTCAGGACTTCTGCCCGCCGCCATGGGGGAACCGGGTGGGGAGCAGTGGAACATGGCACATGCTACTTTGAATTTTTTTTGTGATATAATAGGCCTGCCAGAAAAACATCTTTCATTTATCATATTGGCAAAACGAAAAAAGACTGATAACATGCAGAATTGGGGAAGATGTGGGGATATGGGCACTTCCATACACGGCTGACAGGAGGGTAAATCCATACAGCGGTTTTGGAGGGTAAGGTAATAATTGTCAGAATGTAAAAGATGAGTGTCCTTTAACCCATCAATCGTCCTCGGCAGCTACCCTACAGAAGTGATTGCCCATAGGCTCAAAGGAGCACATCCAAAGATGTTTCAGCTTCCATCCCCAAGCTTCAACTGGCCCCCCGGACTCCAAGTCGACCTCCATATCCACCAGCAGAGAGATGGCCAGACAGGCCCTCCGTCCCTCTAAGGGCACGCACAGCAGACAGGAGGGCCACAGCGTCTGGCATGATCCACAGACATGGTACAGGGGAGGGGCCTGAGCTGCAGGTTGACCCACGAAGCAGGCAGGGCACCACTCATGTTCACAGCCCCATCACACCCTCCTGCGTGTTCTCTGTACCGCTAAGTACACAAACGTCCCAAGAGGCTCTGGCTGCCGGGAACTGCTGAGGTGAGAGGGGGAGCAAAACGTGGCTCAAGTCGCTGAGGGTGTCACTCTAGTTTGATTTTTTTAATGGTGAAAGTGATAACATAAATCATTAGAGAGCTAAAATGCCCACACGCTCCAGGTTTTCATAAAAAAAAGATGGTGAGCTCCCCCATGCAACCTGGGGAGGCCAGGCAGGTTTTGCTCCACGACATGCAAGAGTCCACACAGATTTACAAGGTGAAAAGAGAGACACAGACCTTTCGCGTAGCCACCTTGTACTGCGACCTGCCACTGCTCGTCCAGACTCAGGTCCAGATGCCCCCGGCCACATCTTAGGGCTTTCCTGCCCTGCTAAAACCCCCTCTGGGAAGCTGCCCCCTGGGACTTGCTGCACCCTACCTCCCCAGACCCCGGGGTGGGGACTCTTACCTGGGAGGTCAAGGGCCACAGCCCGGTAGCCCCTCTGCGCCAGCAGCTGCAGCGTGCCCAGCTGCTCCCACGTGTGGGAGTTAAAGGCTTTTCCGTGGAGCAGCACCACCTCTGCCCTGGGGGCGCACAAGGCGGGGCGGGTCCTGCAGGTCTGGTGGTGGCCCGCTATCTTTCTAGGCCCCCACTGCCCTCCCAGGCCCTGGGAACCCCACGTTGAGCTGGGGTCCCACACAGGCAATCCCTCGGGCCTGGGCCTTCCACTGGACGCTGAGGTCGGCACCCACCTGCGTGCCCGGTGGAGTGGGAGCACCTCTCGGTAAAAGATCGGGGAGTTGCCAGGAGTGAGACCAGCCAGGATGGTGACATTGGGGTTTCCCCAGAGCCAGGAGGTCTGCTCTGGGGGGCCCGGCAGCCCCATGTACAGCAGCAGCATGAGCAGCAGGCCCAGGCCCAGCAGGGCTGTCTGGGGCCAGCTCATGGAGGTCGGCACCACAGCCTGGGGGCAGGAGAGGGAGAAGGGGCTGGGGTGGAGGCTCTACAAGGCCCCGGGGCCCCATCCCCAAACCCCACCCAGAAGGCCCCAGCAGAGGACAAGCTTGGCCTTTACCCTTTGCCCTGCTCCAGGCAAGGGCCTGAGGGTTCACATGCAACTACTCCACACGCCAGGGCAACGGTTCAGGCACCCAGCTACGCGAGGAGCATCTGAAATGCCCCCCGGCACCCAGCACACCCAGTAACCACGACTATTATTGTGCCGGCCAAGACCACTTCCATTCATTGAGTCCTCAGATGGCCAGGCCCCGTGCTTGGCCTGTCCCATATGAGGGCCCGTGACTCCACACAGGACCACAGGGGAACAGGTATGATTACAGGTCTGTTACACGTGAGGGGACTGAGGCTCAGAGAGGTAGACTCCTGCTCAAAGTGCAAAGTGCTAGCAAGCCAGGGAACAGGGATTTGAACCCAGTGGGCTTCTAACCACTGGTTCACATCCAGTTTGCCAAGGAGAAAAGAGCGGGGCTGGGAGGCGACGGGTGAACCAGACCTTGCTGGCCGAACAGCAGGGAGGGTCGCCAGAGGTGGAAAGCTCAGTGTGAAGAGACGCCCAGGTGAGAGCATGTTTGAAAACGGTCCTTTTTATCACACTGTATACAATAATACGCAAATTAGAGTGTGTTTTACCATTGATGGGGACTTTCGATTCTCCAGCCCAGCTGATATTAGGTGGGAGGAGGGCGCATGGAGCATCCGTGGAGGAGGAGAAGTGGGGGGCACGCAGGTGGGGGGGTGCGGGCAGGAGAATGGCACACAGAACAGGAAGGGGCAGCCTGAAGCCTCCAGAGATGAATGCCACCCCCCACCCCCAGCTTCACGTCAAGTGGCCTGCTCCATGGACTCCTCCAGTCCAGGTTCTTTGCCAGCCCAGGGGACAGACCTCAGGGCCAGGACCCAGACAGGGGTGAGCCAGGGCTTTGAGACATTTGCTCTGCCACTTCCTGGCCATGAGTCTTCAACTTGTCAGTAAAACAAGGATAACCCTGAGGCTGCCCCTCCACGCTACACCCCCCTCCCCACCCTGTGGTGAGATTTCCCCCAAACAGTGGACTTGACCTGGGGCTGGCCTGTCATCATTTTTCAGGCCTAGGAGGAGCACCCCTGCTTGTTCCCAGATTCCAGTAAACACATCTTTATTGAGTGCCACCTGGGCATCAGCCCCAGCTAGGAACTGGGGACCAGATTCCAGCCCCACCCGCCTCTCGGGATATTTCCCAAATTCCCACTCCGGGCTCCCGGGGCCGCTGGTGACCCAGGAGCTGAGCCGGAGGAAGGCGCTTCTCCCTTCTTTCGGACCAGAACAGTCTCGGATGAGGCCTCCGTGGCGGTTGGCTTAAGTTCCCAGCAGAGGGGGCTTGGGCGCTGGCCCCTCCGGGTAGTGAGAACTAGGCCCCTTAGACACCTCTTTCGGTAGGGAGGGGCGGGAATTCGGCTGTTGCCTTGGCAACCCAGGAGGCTGGAGCACTAAACAACCTTACCCTGCCAGTAGCAGGCAACCTGGTCTAGCTAGGGGCTGGGGCTGGGGCTGGGGCTGAGGGTGGAGAGGTTCCAGCGTAGGTCTCTGCGCACGCGTCGACAATGACACGCGTGTGCACACAAACATCGAGTTTTGTCCTCACCCGCTTTTCTTTTGCACAAGCTATCCCTTGCACTTAGCATCCTCTTTGGCGCTGGCCTGTGCGAAATGGATCCCTTGAAATACACGCCCTCAAAATCATGCACAGTGTCAGGCATCAGGAAGGCAGGCAGGCAGCCACACACGGTTTCAAAATCACGTGCAGACCCTCAAATTTCAAGCACACCGTCATACACAACAATCCTAAAACTACCCACCCACACAAAAACACACACGTGCAGGCAGACGCAGATGCACACAGACCCTCAGAAATACACACATAGGCGCGCGGCTAGTACACATCGTCAAAATCGCATACACAGAAATATACACAGTAGACATACACAGGACAAGCGGGAGGACACCCTCCAACACATGGCATACAAAAACACTGTCACCCAGACCCCCAATAACACACGCAGACGCGCGCGTGCACAACACACACGGACACACGCACTCTCGCTGCCCCAACGTCTGCCCCTCCCGCAGGACTCTGCCCAAGGCGCCGGGACAAGGGGCGGAGCAAGGATGGCTCGTCCCCGGGCACCCTGCTGGCCTCCTCCCCGGGACACTCACCGGGCGGACTGAGATAACCCGGCCAGCGGGGCGGGCCCCGCCCACGCGGAACCAGCAGCCAAACAGCCCCGCGACCATGGCGCTGCCTCTCTGCGGACTCCGACCGGCACTAGGCGGCGGAGAGCGCGGTCACCGCGGCGCGCTTGCGCAGTTCCCAGTCGCAGGCCTTGCGCCTAGTGGCCCTGTTGGAGTGGGAGCTGGAGGCGGCTCCCCAAAGCCTGCAGACCCGGCCCCCCAGTCGATTTTTTAAATTGTTTTAGGCCTGACTGCCAGGGGAGAGCCACCCAGCTCTCCCCACCACAGCGTCTCCACCTTCGTTCAGTCTCTGGTCTGTAAAGTGGGGGTACGTATAAGGGTTGTCTTAGGGCTTAGGGACCCGCCAAGCCTGTGTCTGGCGGGGAGGCTTTGCCTTGTGGTATACAGATAGTATCGCTGCGCAGCTCGGCCCCAGTACTTCCCTGACCTGACAAATACACAAACGCACTCGGTCAGGGCCCAGGGTGGCCCGCGGGCTCCTTTGGCATCTCTTTGACACCTATCCTGTTGGGGGACATGTGACCGAAGTCTGCTCTGCCCCCAGGCTCAGGAACCTCGTGATGGCCCGGCCTGGCAGAGTCTGTGCAGAGTGTGCAGGAGGAGCGGCACGGCTCTCCTTTATTGGCACCCCGTTTGGTAGGCGACTTCACATCCGTTCTACAGGCGAGGATAAGGGCATTTGGCAGATGCCAATACCTGGCTTGGCACTGGCAGAACCTCATCCTCAAACCTGTGGGGGCCTCAACTGCATGCGTGGCGCACAGCTCTGGGCCTCGGCAGTCCAGCCTGCGGATGGGGGAGGAGAGGAGGGCGCAGCAGGGACGTGACTCCAAAGGAACCCTCCTCCTCAAGCCGCGCCTTGTACTCATGGGGCAGGTCGCTGAGGGTCTTGGGAAAGCACTCAGTCCAGTGCTTGGGGCACGTGGGGCTGACGGGCTTGGGGAAACTGAGGCCGCTGGGAGAAGAAAGATGGGCCTTGCAGCGGATTGTGGCCAAAAGAGGTCGCCCCAGAGCACGGCCTGGCCTTATCCCTCCTTCCCCGCCCCTCCCAGTCTCCCCACCCCGCGCCCCATTCGCCTCCAGGACTCGCCTGCCTCCAGTCTGCGCGAACCCTCGCAGCTCCCCAGGTATCTGCCCTGTGCCCCCGACCCTCTCCCCCTCTCCAGTTAGAACCCTCACCTACCCCTAGTTTCTCTTCTCACTCGGCTCCCCAGACCCCCCCCCCCGGGTACGCCCCCACCCCTGCCGCGTGAGCCCTACCAGGCCCTGCGAGACAGCACCGAGGTCCTCGGAGGGGACAGAGTGAGTCTTGGCGGTGCCTGTTGCCGCGCCCTCATTCGCGGCGTCAGAGCGCTAAGCACCCCGCGTCCCTTGCAGGCGGGAACTCCGAAGCCTTTCCCGGTTGAGCGCTCTGGTTTCCGCTTCCAGAAAACGGGTGTTTTACTCCAACCCCGAGCCCCTCCTGCCTGCGGTGCTAAACTAGGACCCGTAACAGTGCCTTTAAGAGCAAGGGGTTGATGAGCAAAATAATCAGCTACTTAATGTTGTTTGAACAGCTACTATACTTGGTACTAAGTGCTAGGCTGGCCGGGAGTGTTTCACACCGGCGGCCTCATTTAATGCTATCAACCAACATGAGCCAAGTACTATTGTATTCTCCCCATTTGCAGACAAGGATACCAATGAGAACAATAATCGTAACGGGAGCCTCCTGTATCGAGTTCTTGCTACACCCTGGCCTGCTAATTCCTTTTTGTTAAGGTTGTTCATTTTTGATGCAGGCTTTAATGTCCTGTATCTCAGATGAGAAAACTGAGGCCCGAGGCTGCACAATTAAGTGAGCAGCACGCCTTTGTGTCCCTCGCCCCAAAGCATGTTCCTGGAGGTCTGGGAGCCTCTGGGAGGCCTCCTCGCTGCTCCCCAGCCCACCCTCCCTGTGGCAGCCGACCTGCGGCTCATCGCCTGGCCTTGCACCCACCGTAGGTGCTGCACCGGCACGGCAGCAGCATGGCAGGCGTGGAGCAGCACGAAGGCACCTTCCAGGTGCAGGGCCAGAGCCTCTTCTTCCGGGAGGCCCGGCCGGGCAGCGGGCAGCCCGCCCGCTTCTCTGTGCTGCTGCTGCACGGGATCCGCTTCTCCTCCGAGACCTGGCAGAATCTGGGTACGCTGCTCAAGCTGGCTGAGGCTGGCTACCGGGCTGTGGCCATTGACCTGCCAGGTACGTTCTGGGCAGTCTTTTGGACAGGGGTGGTGGGGAGTTCCTTGGGGGCCCAGGGCTTGGGGCTGGGGTCTGTGTGGCTGGGCCACAGTGTGCACTGCAAGGACCCTCAAGCTTGTCTAGTCTTGACCCGGATGCGTTGACCCAGATCTCTAGTCCAGCTGTTGCCTGGGGCAGTGTCTCTGAGCTTGTGTTTCCTCATCTGTAATGGGAGATGGCCGCACTCCTGCCGGGGGCTGGGCTCTACAGTGTATGATGTATCACGGGGGTTATCTGGTCAGTGCCTGGCATAAAAATGGCTGCTCAGCCCGTTGGAGATGAGGTATTTTGACAGAGCCATAACCATAGGTTCTGTTGGAAACCCTGAAGTGTGAGGCTGAATGTCCTGGCAGCTTTGGGAACAGGGCAGGGCCTGGTGGATGGCTAAGCCACTAGCCATGATCCCAGGTAGAAAGCCCTAAACTGGGTTAGGGGAGGCAGGGGCAGCCCCAGATTGCCAGCCATAACCTGGATGGGCTGGCCCTAGTCCCTGGTGCCCAGTGTGGCAGGGACTGTGGCTGACCTGCTCTCCTCTCCGCTCCGGCTGAGGCTGGTACAGTTTCAGTGCCCAAGTGTGGGCCTCCGGGTCCCGAGGGAGCTTTAGCCTCTGAAAGCTCAGACCAGCTGAGCTTCAAGGCTAAAAAGTCTTGAGCTAAACTTCCCAGGGAAGGTTGGGATTTGCTAATTGGAGGGGAGGTGCCTGTGCAGAGCCAGCCCCTCAGCCACTGCTGTCAAGACACTTCCACTGCCATCCCTGGGACAGGTGCCCCTGAGCAGTTAATTTTCACAACAGTCTCGAATGGCAGATACTTCTTTTTCTCCCTTTAACAGATGGGGAAACTGAGCAGAGGAAAGGGCTGAGGAGACTTTCCCAAGGTCACATAGATAGTGAACGGAAAATTGGGACTTGGGTTCAGCTGTTTTGGGCTTCAGAGCCTGATTCTTCCCGGCACTCTGTACCGCTGGGGGGAGACAGGCACAGACCCGAGGGAAGTGGCTCATGCTTGAGGTCTCTGTCACAGCAGGGATATGACGGGTCTAGGCTGCTGTAGGAGTAAACTCAGGCATACTGCATGCTGCAGAACCTGGCACAGGGAGATTGACCTAGGAGGGCTTCCTGGAGGAAGGGACCCTCTCTATCTCGTTTTCCTACTCACGGCCCTTGTCTTATCTCTCCCACACCTAAATCCCTGCAGGTCTGGGGCGCTCCAAGGAAGCAGCAGCCCCTGCCGCTATCGGGGAGCTGGTCCCCAGCAGCTTCCTGGCAGCTGTGGTGGAGGCCTTGGACCTGGGCTCCCCAGTTGTAATCAGTCCGTCGCTGAGTGGCATGTACTCCCTGCCCTTCCTCACGGCCCCTGGCTCCCAGCTTCGGGGCTATGTACCAGTGGCCCCCATCTGCACTGAGAAAATCAGCACCGCTGACTACGCCAGTGTGCAGGTACCCCTGTGTGGGAGGATGAGATGCCCCTGCCAGGAGCAAGAGAGAGTCCCTCTTGGGGCCTTTCCTTACCTGGGGGTGGGGTCGCCAAGGGGTAGCTTCTGGGAGGAGTTGAATCACCACCCTCCACCCTTTTGATTACCTGGGCAGATTACCGCGCCAAGCCCTGCACTGAACTGTGTGCCGGGACAGACCAATCTACACCTCTGTCCCTTGGGAGTGGCCCCCCACCCCACTGAGCCAGCGTGTCTCTCCCCCTCATTTGGGGCGATCCCAGAGAGAGGCTGAGCAATGGGGAGGCTGGAGCTGGTGCGGCAGATCCCTGTTGATTCCACCTCCCTTTCTCTTCTCCAGACCTCAGCTCTTATTGTCTATGGAGACCAGGACCCCATGGGTCAGACCAGCTTCGAGCACCTGAAGCAGCTGCCCAACCACCGGGTGTTGGTCATGGAGGGGGCAGGGCACCCTTGTTACCTTGACAAACCAGAGGAGTGGCATACAGGGCTGCTGGATTTCCTGCAGGGCCTGGCATGAGGCCCAGGCATGAGGCCCAGCCCTGTGGTCAGGGGTGGGCTGCTTGCCTGTTTGGGGCTCTCTCCCTCCCCCCCTGCACACCCAACAGGTGTGTGTGTATGTGTGTCTGTCTAGGTGCTTGTCTTTTGGGGTCTGTCTGCCTTTTCCTCTTTCTCTTGCAGTGACACACTGAGGAGGTGAAATTAAGAGAAAAAATTCAGGAATCAAGGAACGGGACCTGGTGGTGGGTTAGTAACCTGTTTAGATGAACTTCTCCTAGGCTCTGCTCTCCTTCCGCTGCTCTGCCCAGTCCATCCCTCCCACCTCCTCCTTGGCTGCCCCACAGAGGACTCACAGCCCCTACCTAGCCTCTCAGGCCACAGATCCATACATGCCCACATGCATGCATACACATGTTCCCAAATATGACCCAACCACACAGGTACATGCACCTGACTGACATGCAGACTCAGGTGCAGCTTTGCATTGCATGCACAGACACCCGTGCATGTGTGTGTTTCCACACAGCGCTTGCACAGGCACGGGCGCCCTCCCAACCATGCAGCACCCCAATGCCTGGGAAAGTGGGGACCCCAGGGACTGGTCCTTGCAGGAGATCCTCTGCCGAGTTTAGGGCGAGGCCTGCCCTGAGCTCCACTCACCTACAGGTCGCAGCTGACTCCAGATCAGAAATGTCCCCCAAAGGAGAGGGCCACCCCTTTGACCCTCAGATTTTCCAGCGTTCCCCCTCATTCTGGGTGCTCCACCCTTCCCCAGGTTATCAGACCTGGGTCTTCACAGCCAAGCCTCTTTCCTGCTTCAGGGCTGGGGGAGGCGCAGAGGAAAGCGGAGGTCGGCGAAATAAAGTCATGCAATTAGACCCTCAGGCTCTTGCTGTCTCCAGAGCGTCGCCCCGCCCCTCCCCTCCCCTCCCCTCCCCTTCCCCCTGGGACCGCCACCACGGCCCCTCCCCCACCCTGGCTGGACCAGATGGTCCCCCTGCCCTTTGTCCACCAGGCCAGATGGAGGGGAAGGGAGATTGGATTCCCCTCCCCACCCCCACACACCCAGGTGCCAAGAGACTCAGCTGTGGGGGGAGGTGGAGGTCAGTGGGACCAGACTGAGCGGATTACAGAGGAGAGGGGGAGGTAGACTTGCTCGGGGCGGGGGCAGCGGCAGAGGGTGCTGTGGGGGAAGGAAGGGCCTTCGAATAACGAAGCCTCCACCTACTCTTACCTATTCCCCTCCGGAGTACTCAGCCGCGCGGCCTCCCTTGCGACCCTAGCTCCTAAAAGAATTCTGGGGGTGGCTTTGAGGGAGCCCTGGGCAGGGTGCCCGGCTCACACCGTTCTCAGGCCCCTCCTCCGGCTGGTCCGGAAACCTGTCCCGGGTGGACGAGGGCCGGGCCTCGCGGAAGCCGTGGGTGGCCGAGGGGTGCGGGTCTTGGTGGGCCGGAGCCCCACGCAGGGATAGATGGCGCGGAGCAGAAAAGCCAGGAACCTGAGCCAGCAGAGGGTGGGAGCCCGACTTCCCACGATCGGAGCTGGGGCCGGACAGCCTGAGGGCTGGCGGCAGGGCGGAGGCCGGGATGGGGGTGCAGGGGGCTCGGCAGAAGCGCCGGGCGAGAGGCCCAGCCGGAAGAAGGGACTCGGGAGCGGGCGCAGAGTGGGCGGTGTCGGAGGGCCGCGCTGCAGGCCCGACCTCCCCTCACCCCCGACTCCCAGGGGCCGGAGGGTCGCCCAGCCTTCTCGGACTCCGACGCCGCGCGAGGCGCACCCGCGCGCGCGCGGGGCGGGGCGGGCGGCTGCGGCACTGGGGCGACTGGGGCGGGCTCGCCGCGCTGTAATCGGATCCGGGGAAGGGGCGGGGAGGGGCCGGGCCGGGCCGGGGGGTGGGGGTGGGGGGGCGCGGAGCCGGGCTCCGGGCCGGCCGGGCTCCGCGCCTGTCAAACCCCTCATTGTTCGCAGCTGATGTCACTCGCAGTTGTGAGCGGCCGCCTCTCCCGGGGACAATGTGGGACTGAGCGGCCCAGCCGCCGCGCCACCGCCGCCGCAGGACAGCCCCAGAGAGGTAGGGCGCGCGCCGGGCGGGGCACCGCGGGCTGTGAAGTTTGGGGGTTCGGCCGGGGGCGGGGAGTCGGTGCCCTAGTCCACAGGCCCGGGTCCTGGGTCTGGGGGCCTATGAGACTGCGAGGAACACGGTCTCTGTCCCACACGGGCCCAGGCCTGCACAGGTGGGGGGCGCTGGCCTGCCAGAGGAGCCCCCAACACCGGAGACCCCAGATTCGAAGCCCTCATCCCACCTGCTGTTTCTGGCCTTCGGACCGGCTCTGCTCTGGATCTCCCGCCCTGGGCTGGGGCTCTGCTCCCTCGCCGTCCCCATCTGCTGCTCCCCTGCATTCTGGCCCAGCCCGCACCCCTTCCCATTCTCTGCAGTCTCCGGTGGGGCCCCACACACCTCCCAGGGCTGTGTGAGGATGACAGGGGGAGGCTCACGTTGGCCCTAGTGCCCGTGGCTCTTCAGCCCTTCAGCTCTGACCTGGCTTCTTAGTTGGAGTCCTGGGGGGTATGGGGGGGGGGCTTTGGCTACTCACTCCAGCCAGGCCCTGGGGCCTGCAGGTCAGAGGAGGGAGGTGCTGCCTCCTCACTCCCCTATCCCAGGCAGGCCGGCCATCTTGAGACCTGTGGCACCCGGTGCCCGGCCCGGCCCCAGCACCCTGGGGAGTGGTCTTCAAGGGATGCGCCCAGGGCCGGTTGCATTCCCTCCTCCCAGAATGTGGGCTGTCGGGCCCCACCCAGCCCAGGATGAGCACCTTCGTGCTGGACCAACAGGGCTCGTGTCCTCGGGGGCCCTTCTTCCCCCACAAAGCACTTTTCAAAGCCCTGGACTCCCCAGAAGCTTAAACCTCAACTCCGGCCCTCCCTGTCACTTGGGATTATTCTTGTTGCCTTGGGGCCAGCACCTGGGTTCCTACCCATTTCCATCTCAAGGTCCCCTAGCCCCTCTGGGCCCTAGCACCCTCTCAACCTCCAAGGCGCCCCCTCCCAGCCCCCACCCCCTCCGCTTCATCAGCATGCAGGCTCAGGCTGCCCAAACACAAGGGGATTGTTCTTCTTGCGTGCTCAGGGTGGGGGGCTGGGAGCAGGCAGCCCACACACCCTGGCAGGCCCAGGCCACAGGCAGGCTGGCTTTGCCCCGCCCTGTGTCCCCAGCCTGGCTCTCTCCACCCTTCCTACTCTCATCACTGCCCCACTCCAGCCTCCATCACCCCTTCTTGATGGCGCAGACCTCTTGCAGAGAGAGGTCTCAGCTACGCAGGGGACCCCTGGATCTCCCCAGCTCTGCCAGTCGCCTGTCACTTAGCCTTACAAATATGCCCTTTCTTGTCTGGGCCTCAGGTTCCTCTCTGGGGAGGCCCTTCCAGCTGTGACAGGCTCAGCCCCTATTCTAATGGGGAAGCCCACCCAGAGGTCTCAAAGCACAGTGCAAAGGCCCACCTCACTGACATGCCCGGGGAGCCCCTAGACTCCCAGAAACAGCAAGAACGGGAGCTGGGGTTGCTGGGGAATGGGTCCCTAAGCCCTGGGACTCCTCACCGCCCCCCCCCACCCCACTGCTCCTGAGACCCTCAGTGCCATCTCTGGCCCCTGATGCCCCAGGCCCTGGGAGCACCCTCCTTTTCCACACACTGAGCCTGGGCCTGGCCCCTGCCCTCCGGGAGTGCTCTCTGTTGCGGAAAGACAGTCTCGGAAATGCCCATTTGGGCTCTCTTGACTTGTAGACGTGTCTTTCGGGGGCCCAGAGTCCTGGGTGATTGAATCTGACTTGGAAGGTTGGGAAGGGCTTCACAGGGGAGGCAGCATTTGAGAAGGATTTTGACAGCGGGGGAGGATGGGCATTTCAAGCTGGGATCCACCTGGGCAGAGGCCCGGGGGCCTGGAGGTACTAGGCGTGTTTTGCAGCCTGGTGTGTGTGGGGGTGGGGTGATGGAGTGGCAATGAGGTGAGTGGCTGGTGGGGGCCAGATGGCGAAGGCCCTTGAGAGCTTGTCTATGGAGATCAACCTTTATTCCTTGGGCACTGGGGAGCCAAGGATGGCTGTTGAGCAGTAGTGTGACCCAGTCTGAGGAATGGAAGTTAGAGACCTTTCTCAATTTGCGTGAGACAGTGAGGGGATGGGTCCCCACCGGTGGGACTGTACCCCGAAATTGCCCTTCCTCCTAGAGCCCAGTCTGGGCCTGGGCCCGCCTGGCTCTCCCTTGACTGTGCAGACTCCTGTGGGGGGGGCAGGGGCAGCTGCCTGAGGATGTTCGGAGGAGCCTGTCGCATTTCTGGCACCAGCTAGGTTGTCGGCACTTTCCTCCCCTGCCCAGCACTGAGGGTACAAGACAGCCCTGGGTCAAGACCCAGGGGCTGGAGCTGGTGGACCCCAGACTGCTCCCCTGCAGACCCTTCCTGCCCACTCTACCCGCAGTGCTATGGGTGGGCCTCCCGAGAGGCTGGGCGCTCTGTCCCAGGGTGCTGCGGCAGTTCTCGTAGAGGCCTGGCTAATCGGGGGTGGTGAGCAGGAGACGGCCAAGGCCGGGGAGGCAGAACCCCCCAGTGCCCCCAGTGCCCCCAGGCCCGGGTCCAGTCCCTGCCACACCCTGCCTCGCCCGGTCCCCAGCATTCCCCAGCATCACTGGGTGTGGCCAGCACGGCTGCCTTTGGAGTAGGTGTAGGAGGTTGCTAGGTTAGCGGCTGGAGGGGCTGAGGGGTTATTTGGGGATGTAAAGGGGAGGACGAACCCGGAGGCTGGCCTCCTCTCTCCCCCCAGCCCAGGTAGGTTGATGAGCCCTGGATGGTCCAGACGCTGTGCTCTGGCCAGCGGAGTCCAGGGAATCCCCTGAGGGGTGGGCCAGTCCCCCTGAGTCCCAGGAGCCCCCCCTCCCCTGGATTGTTCTTGCTGCAGAACAAAGCCTGGGTGGACACTTGATCCCCGCGTGTCGGGGGAGCTGGCTAAGCCCCCAGCCCTTTGATTGGGCAGCTGTCATGAGAGAGAGAGAGAGAGAGAGGGACAGCTGGGGGGAGGGGCAGGAAGGGGCGGCCACCATCGGCCGCCCGTCGCTTACACAGCTGTTCCACCCCCTCCAGCCTGTGTGGCAGAAAGCCAGGGACCGAGGGAGTGGGCGCCGGGTCTGGGGAGGGGGCCTGGGGAGCAGGCAGGGACACTGGAGGCCAGAGGCCTGGTCTGAGTTGGGTACGTTCTGCCAGAGAGCCCTGCTGACCAGAGGGGGCTGGGCACCCCCAGAGGTGAGCTGGAGGTCACTGTGGCATGAGGCAAGTCTACCATGTGGGTGGCCCAGCAGGGACCCAGGGCCCACCAGGCTGGACAGCCCGTACTCCCTGGAGCCCCTCTGAGGGCGGAAGGCAGGTGAGGATGCCTGCCGGGGCTGCTAGGAGTGTAATTCAGACGACCCATTTTAGGACCCCTTGTCTCTCCTAAAGATGGGGAAGGCCTCGGGGGTCCTTCCGACCAGGAAGGACACAGAGAGGCCGCAAACGCCCCCCCGGCCCCTGCCCCACGTGCGTGCACGCACACATAGCACAGGTGGGTAAACTGAGGTCCAGGTCTGGCCAAGGTCACCCACAAAGCTTGGGGCAGTGGGGTGCTATTGCAGACCTTACCTTTCTCAGGGTAGGAGACTGTACCTTTTTCAATGGCCACATCACAGCCATTCTGACCTGTTTCTCCTGGGACTTAGGACCCCAAGAGGTAACATGAAAATGACGTGAGAGCAAGGTCAGGTCCCCCACTGGTTACCGCCCTGAAGGGTTCCTGAGGCCCAGAACATTCTGCAGCTTGACTGTGGCTCCAGACAAGTTGTCAGCCCTTTCTAAA